GCGTCGCGAGTGCGGGCGGCGGCAGAGTTGAGCACGTCGTAAGAGATTTGTGTGCCGCTGTCGGGGATCGTGAAGACGTCCCACGCCGCCGTCACTCTCATTCCCGACGTGACAGGCAGTACCTCGTGCTCGACGTCGGCGTACAGGAAGGCCCAAGGCAGCTGAGGGTTCCCCGAAGCACCCCACACGTCCGTAGACCAGTCATAGACGATTTCTCTGTCGCCCTTTCGAACGACGAGGTCCCCGCCCGTAAAAGACGACGGGAGACATAGAGTGATCGTGCCCAAGTGATTCTCTCCACGAGCGGTGCTGTACTCGCAACGCATGAGTTAAACCCCTCCGAGATGAAGCCCTGGTGGATGGAACGTACTCCTGGTGAGCCTTGAAAAAGCCTCCTTGGGGATATATATTAAGCTTGGCCAGCCGTGCCGTCAAAGGATATTTCAGTCCCAGATGAGCGGCAATGGTAGTGAGCAGTCCGCTGCTAGAGGTCGGGTCTGGCACAAGAGCGAAGTCGGGGATCTGTACGAGCATAGGTGAGCAAACCTGCTCAGATGACCTATGGGATAATCATGGTCTCACAGCGATCGCTCGCGCCAGACGGTACGACTCGTCCACCACTGTCTCGGAGCCTTTGCCGAACGGGGCTATATTACCAGCACGGGCTAGTTTCCCGATGATTTCCTCGGTAAGAGGCACCGGTCGTGTCCTATATTCCAGAAACGCCACATCCACTTTCAACGCCACACATGCTTCCGGAAACGACGCGGACATACGTGAACGACTGGTCGGGCTGGGAAGAGTCTGTGTACTTCAGGTAGAGCTGGTCAACGTCGATATCCTTGCTCGTCAAGACGCCGCCACATGAAAATGAGTCTTGTCCAGCTCGGATGGCCTCAGCACAGCGCTTGATCTTATTGACCTCGGCAGGAGTGAGGGATCTCTGTGGTTTGACTGCTGACATCTCTGCGTTGTGCTTTGAGAGTGCGAGTATACGCTGACTGGTAGGTTCGTCGTTGTGAGAGGATGTAGCCAAGGCGAAAGCGAGCGTGACCCTTCCTCTTAAGCTGCTGTGACCCCTTTGTTGTCACACGTCGTGTTTGGATATGTAGGCGATAGGTGGGCGCGAGGCACGAGCATGCCCTATCAGAGAACGAGAGAGTGGCATGAATCGATCGAGCACCGGCCCGCGTCAGTTGGTCGAGCTCCAGGCAGGTGGGAGTGCCTCTTGTTGCCGCCGCTGCTCGAGTCTTTGGTTGCCCACCAGTCCATTCTTTGACCAGCACCCAAGCATGGACTGAACCCGACCGACAGTCGCCTACAGTTCCGACGCCTCGTCCTCTGCAATGATCGGATTGGTCATCGCGAGAGGCCGTTATATGTCTCGTCTCCGCGGCCTGTGACTCCGGATCCGAGGCGGATACACGCCGAGTCAGCTTGTTCAAGTCCGTTATGACTCATCGAGGCAGCCGATGATGGAGAGAACACGCATCCAGGAGTACCGCAGGGTGCCGTAAGCACGCGGCAGATACGGTTATTAGAGAGCCTAGCGGGCAGGTAGGGAGATGATTGACTGCTGTGGTTGACTTGATCACGGTCATTGCAGATGGATGTGGGAACGTAAGTATACGTATACGGCGCGTAGTGGCGGAGTTGGCGGCTGCCAATGCTTCCTTAGTACGGTAAGCTTCCTCTCCCCGCGATCACCACGCAAAATCGTGATACGCCAATATACGCTCTCCAAAGCCCATGATGTCACTCAGGCTACGTGTAGCTGGCAGTAAGTTGATGTCATTCTCATCGCGCACGGTTATGTTGATAGATGGACGTGCACGTACTGGGCATAGTCAGACTCGGAACCGCTCAGGCGGCCGAGGGGTGACATGCATTTTCTTTGTGCCGGGTTGTGCGTTAACGGTTCCTCCGATGCAGTCAGTCCCTTGAACATCGATGAAGATTTTCGTAGTATCGCATCGGAAACTGCTACATTGCAGCTCAATCGTTCGCTCTCAGCCGCGTGAAGGTTCAGGTAAACCCTTTCAGTCCGGGACACATCAATCATGATGGCCATGTGAGTGCATCACAACACCTTGGTTGAGAAAATCATGACAAGAATGAGTACCAGGACGTTGCGTTACTTGAAATTAAGTCTCAGCATCAACCGCGCTGGGAAGATGGCAGTCCCCTGCATAGAATACCACAACTATGGGAATAAGGGGCGCCTTCTCTATGTTGGGGTCGGTCGGAAGCTTATTCCGTACAGGTAGAGTAGGTCTCTTTCTTCATATCTGAAAACCGGTGCCGGTAACTAACAGGCAGCCGAGGATACTGCTCGTGGTGAGACAGCGGTAATTGATACTCTTGTAAAGAAATCATTCTAAACAACTCAACATTCAACACCGCTGAAATTCCACCAATGATCCATACTACTTTAATCGCGTTGTTTGTTTGAACTAAGATATTTAGGGGTGCTTGTATCATGTTTGCTGCGATCTGATCTGTACTACATAGGCGCGCTGTTCAGTACATGTCATGGACGGCCTGCAGGCAGTGGCCGTGTTTATTCGCTTTTAATAATTACACGTTCCTTCCGGAGCACACAGCATAGGGGGAGAAGGTGTGAGACAAGCAAGGGACCATCTAAACCATATTATGCGCTTCCCACTCCGGCATTCTCTTTCGCCTTCGCAGCACGCTGTCCCGCCTCCACGACGTGCCATTCTTTGAGACGCTCCTCCGCTGGCGGAAGGGTGATAAACAAGCATGGGGCAACATAGTAAAACGCGGTTTCGGCCTGTCCGGATATGTGAGCAAACCATACATTCCCTCGAGATGTAAGTCGCTAATTCACCTCGTTTCCATACGCAGTGTAGTCCCCGGCTCGAGACGATTGTCCAGGATACGTTACCCACATGACATCTCGGCGGACCTTGGCACCAGAATCGGAGAGCCCATCCATTACCGAGCCTTCCACGTATCTTCCGCGGAGATTACCGGGCCCCTTGGCCGTGAACTCATCCAGCTTGAAAGGGTGATCGACCACAGGCTGGACAACAATTTTTGGCAGACGCTTGCGGTAATAGTTCGACAGGCCCTTGTACCACGTTTCGAATTTCTTGTCGCCGTCGTACCGAAACCGCCATTCGAACTTGATGCCGGTCCGTTCAAGTATGTCAACCAACATGGCGTCGGTTCCCTTGAGTTGCCTGCTCGTCTTGCTCCACTCTTGGCCCTCGATAGGGTAAGAATGAGAGAAGCCGAATCCTAAGATCGCCCCCTCGGGGACGAAGCTCATATCGTCGAACATAGCCAAGATCGCCTGTCGGATGTACTCTTTGGAAGCGTCGCGAGTGCGGGCGGCGGCAGAGTTGAGCACGTCGTAAGAGATTTGTGTGCCGCTGTCGGGGATCGTGAAGACGTCCCACGCCGCCGTCACTCTCATTCCCGACGTGACAGGCAGTACCTCGTGCTCGACGTCGGCGTACAGGAAGGCCCAAGGCAGCTGAGGGTTCCCCGAAGCACCCCACACGTCCGTAGACCAGTCATAGACGATTTCTCTGTCGCCCTTTCGAACGACGAGGTCCCCGCCCGTAAAAGACGACGGGAGACATAGAGTGATCGTGCCCAAGTGATTCTCTCCACGAGCGGTGCTGTACTCGCAACGCATGAGTTAAACCCCTCCGAGATGAAGCCCTGGTGGATGGAACGTACTCCTGGTGAGCCTTGAAAAAGCCTCCTTGGGGATATATATTAAGCTTGGCCAGCCGTGCCGTCAAAGGATATTTCAGTCCCAGATGAGC